CTAGGTTATGATGATTGGAAGATCATGATGGAAGCACACCTCTACGCTCTACATGATTGCATGTGGATGGTGCTTGAGGATGGACCCTTGAAAATCCAAATGGAGAATCCTGAGAGGAATCCAGCAACTCCAGACGTAGTCCAGTACATTCCAAAGCCTAAGGAAAAATGGGATGATAGAGATCGCAAAAAGCATAATCTGGACAACGTCGCCAAAGCAGCCATCTTCAAGACACTTGATCCCATCACCTTCTCCAAAATCAAGCATCTCAAGACTGCCATGGAGATATGGCAAGGCCTTGGGAAGCTATGTGAGGGATCAGAGGACTTGAGAAAGCAGAAGATAGAAGTCCTGCTTGAGAAGTTCAAAGGCTTCAAAATGCTTCCCGGAGAATCATTTGATATGTTGGATGAAAGATTCCACAAAATCTTAAATGATCTTGCCTCACTTAACCACGTTCTTTCTCCCAAAGAAAAGAATGTAAGGTTACTGAGATCACTTTCAACAGAGTGGTACACCAAGGCCACAACCATGGAAGAAGGAAGAAACCTGGAGAACTACACTGTACAGGGTCTTCTTGATGAGCTCAGAACCTATGAGCACGAGCTGAAGAAGAAGAAGGAAGAACAAGTCACTCCCTTCCCCACGGCACTGATGACAACTCCAAGAGTCCCAACAAGCGAAGGGACATGCCCTAGAAACTGTGACACACCTTCCTCCAGCCAGCCGTCCAGCTCAAAAATGGAGAACTACGATGAGGAATTTGCCATGATGGTCAAGCAATTCCGGAAGTTCAAAAAGTTCTTCAAGAAAGCTGACTCAGTCAGAAGGCCATCCAAGGGAAAGCCACAGGTAAGTGACTCTCCTCCTGAATCTTATTTATGTTATAACTGCAGGAAGCCTGGCCACTGGAAATCAGCATGTCCGTACCCAAAGGTGGAGAAGTACGGAGAGAGAGAAAGGAACGAGAAGAAAAAGAAGGCAATGGTTGCTGCTGAAAGTGATGACTCATCCAGCTCAAGCTCGGATGAAGAAGCCCTCGTCTGCATGGAGCGCAGAGTTGAGAAGTCCAACCAAGAGGATAGGTGGACTATGTCAGAAGACGACACTCTCTGCCTAATGGCCAAAGATGATGCTGATCAAGAGGTAACTTCACAAACCTCCTGCTCATCTTCTTATGAAAGCATACCAACTTCTGAAAATCTTTTTGACAAGTTCAAAAAGATGATGGTAGATTTTGAAGAAATAAATCTCAAACATTCTTCCCTAACAGAGGAGAACAAACTATTGAGTGAAGAGAATCTCAAATTGACTCAAGGTCGGAAAAGTCAACTGGATGAGATTACTCAACTCAAGACTGCAAATGAATCTCTCTCTGAAAAGGTGAAATCCCTTGACAAAGAACTAGGGATACTTAAGTCTAAGGAAGCAGTGGATAAGCTTCTTAAAACGACCAATAATAAGGGTCGTAAAGGACTTGGGTTTGACCCCTCCAGTTCTAAAAGGAAAGGGAGAACAACTATCATCCCTCCTAAACCTACTGCTAAACCAAATAAGCAGAAAGAAAAGGAAGAGGAGAAACCAACAGAAGTTCCCAAAAAGGTAGTCCCTCCTAAGAACTATAGGAAGATGGACAAACCTCAAAGAGGAAATAATTTCAGAAGAAAACCTACTAACCCCCAATATACACGAGGTTATACTCATTATGGGGTAGATAGGAGTTTTCCAAGAAATTCTGAGTGGAGAACTATGCCAAGATATAGTCATCCTCCACCTCAGAAACTTTTTGTGCCACCTAAGTATGTTTATAACCGACACAGGCCACACTATGCACAACCTAGACAAAACTATAGGTCTTACCAACCTAGGTTTGCTAGGAGGAAACAGGAAATTGCACCTCCTGCACATAGGAAGTTTTATGCCTACAACTATGATTACAACCCTAACAAGTTTAGAGCTGCAAGGAAAATTCCCTGCAACTTCAAACTTGATGTAGGGACACACACCATTAACTACTGTGGACCCAAACTTAATTGGGTACCAAAATCTTCCTCCTCCTAATGCAGAAAGCCACTAAGTACCCAGGTGTCTGGTACTTAGACAGTGGCTGTTCAAGACACATGACGGGTGATGCGAGCCTTTTGAGTAATCTAATTTCCTATGATGGTCCAAGAGTTACTTTTGGAGGAAGCAACGATTTTGGCCTTACTAAAGGGCTAGGAAATCTGGTGTACAAAGGACTAACCATCCAAGCTGTCTCTTATGTAGAAGGTCTCAATTATAACCTTCTTAGCATAAGTCAGTTTTGTGATAAAGGTTATTCTTTGGAATTCTGCAAAGACATGGCATCTCTCAAGAACATCTCCACAAATGAAGTCATTCTCACTGGGAAGAGAATCAGAAATATCTATGAAGTGATGTGGGATAATGTCAAGGAAGCATGTCTAATCAGCAAAGGTGACACTAACCTTCTATGGCTTTGGCATAAGAGGTTGAGTCATCTCAACTTCAAAACCCTCAACAAGCTGTCCAAAGAAGGGTTAGTAGAAGGTCTTCCCAAAACCGCTTTCAGAAAGGAAAGTATTTGTGATGCTTGCCAAAAAGGAAAGCAAGTCAAGTCCACCTTCAAGGCAAAATCGGCACCCTCAACTACAAGGATATTAAGTCTTATTCACATGGACTTATTTGGCCCTGTTACACCAATAAGTCTAAGTGGAAAGAAATATGTCCTGGTGGTAGTTGATGATTACTAAAGATACACGTGGACAATCTTCCTCAACGGCAAAAAGGAGACTCAAGGAAAACTCACCAACTGCATGAAGCTGATTCAAAACCAAGCAAGTCAGACCA